GTTGCAGAAGTATTTGCTTTTCTTTCTTTTTAAATTTGTGCTCTGTTGCAGCGGCGGAAAAGGGTGACGGCAATGAAGATGCGATACTGGGTGCCTGTGAAGCGGGCGACACCACTTTTCGCGTGTGCATCGTTGCGCCTGGAACGGAACCTTTTGATTTACAGGTGTGATTTGTGAAGTTAGACTCGGATAGGAAGTAAATCTCCATCCAAATTGCACGTCGAAGGGCTGCCGGTTGGCGTAAATTCCATATCATCGTCGATGTCCTCAAAGTGTTGTACTGGGAGAGCCACTTCCTCCCCTTTAGCACCGTTGTGTGGAAGGCAATGACACACGAATGCGAAACGTGATCACTGGCGAAAACTGAAGAGCGAGCGTTGGTTATGAGGAGAGATGTTTGATGTGTCTCTCCATGACTGTATGCGCTCTCCGTCATATGAGCGGTGTGAATATGCGTGAAAGTAAAATCCAATAGGCGGGACATGTTGGCCGCTGTGCATAAGTGAGTGGTATCTCTGAGAAAGTAAACGTCCACTAGGTCAGTGTCGAAGAGGTGGTTAACATACATAGGTATTAACTGGAGGTATGCGGACCGGGGCTGGAGGGCCTGGCATAGTTGCGCTGGGCGTGTGGAAGCATCCTAGTAACATCACTGACAGAGAAATAGCACAGTGATACTCCTATCGGTCTTGGCATTTGTTCAGCGTATTTTTTATTTCAGAACACAGTTGTAGTTGATTTGTCGATTCAGTGTTGTGAATAAATTGCGTGGGCATTTAGCCAATTGCTCGCTATCTTTTGCCTTTTCGGACGTTGAAGATTTAGGTGAATTCGAGCGAGTTGGTGCAAGAGATCCATCAGGTGCTACTGGAACGTGACGCAACTTGCCACCGGACATGCTTCAGCTTGCAACTGAATGGCGTTTCACTGGATCATTTTACAGAATTGAGAAATATTGCCGGTCTCACTGATGGCTCAGTGTTGAAAGTTGTTGAAGGTTAACTCAGAATTGGGGGGTTTTTTTTCTTGTAAGTAACACCCGAAAATTTCCGGATAATATTTTATTTTGAAAGAGAGGAGCGACAGGCAAGCAGGACTGGGAACCTCTGGAGCAGGTAATTCAGTTTTACGGGAAAATATGCTGACGCTTGCTGCTAAATCTTTCAGTGCCCTGTGCCCGAAAAAGTTCACTTATTAACTTATTAGCCAAAACCAAGGCACATAGCTGTAGGGTGCAGGCGACTCCGCGATGGCATCTACTGGCCACTTGAAGTCCTTGCTCTGCGATTGTTGTTCCGCCACTGCGGACGGGGCTGGAGATGGGGCTTAATTTTATTTATTTCTCTCAGTTAATGCTATTTCTAGTACCACACCATTGAGCATACATATTGCTTGTGCATCTGCTGACATCGGTTCATGCCGCCTGAGCTAATGTGTTTGTTTTTGCCTCGCCGAGCCTCCACTCTACCTCGTTCGCTAGCCGCTAGCTCATCCACACTTCCGATGAAATGCCTGGCTTGAGGTTATTTCTCTCTTTCCTTTTTTTGAGGCATCAACTTCATTTATCGTCCAACAAATATTTCAGAGCCATACACAACGCGCGAAGCGCGTATTCATGTGCGTCACGTGCGTGAACTGATTCATAGTTTGGATATGTTGGATGCTGTGAACGGTAGTGAAGGTGCATCGCTGTCATATCTGGCAACGATGACGC